GGACCAGCATAGATCTACTCTCAGCTGAAACTCTTGAACTGTATATATGGCGTCCTCAGCGCTAGCTGCTAATATAGCCTTAGCTTTAGTCATAGTCTGCACTGTTAACCTTAAAGACAACGTACTAATACTTGAACTCCATCAAAACAGACAGAAGTGTAACCCTATTTTTGACTTTGCCTAACTAGAAAGCTTGTGCTGATACTCACTTTCAGAGAAGATAAATTGATCGAAGTTGATCTAGCTCTCACTCTGTCACAAGTTCTAATCTAAAAAATGGAGGAATACATTGCCAGGTTTCTTCTTGCAGAATAATAGCAGGAGAAATTCAGAAAACATGATTGCCACAAGTCTTTGCCTTTGATATGGCCTAAGTATTTAAAAAAAAAAAAAACACCTTGAAAGTCTATTACAGATTTTGGGAAAGACTTTTCCTGTTCCCAAGATGTGAAGTTTTGTATACATGTCCCAGCTCTCTTTTTCTGAATCTCTAGCATCTTCATGCAGGTAAGTATCATGCAAGCTAAGCAGAAAGACTTCCATTGCATACGAGCTGAGTTTCGTTTCCTCATCCGTTTTACTGATACGTTAGGAAAGATGCTCTTTAATTTCCGTTTTCAAAACTTCTCTAAAAAGATTACTCAGTATTTAGATCGCCAAAGTGTTACCTGATGATATCTAGAGAGTGAAACTAAAGTAAATCTGAAAGCTGTCTAGCCTTGGAATTTCATAGTCTTCATAGTGCAAACAGGAATCTCACAAGCAACTGTTAGGGATATTAGTTTGTTTTGAGTAATTTCGTCTTACCACAGGGCCTGACTTTTGAGAAAGCATTTAGTAATCTACAGACAAAAGTGCTGGTTCTGTGGGCTGTTTGGAACAACCGAAGCAGAGTTTGCATTCCTGATTTTTATTATTCACATGTTTCACTTGCCCCCAAGAATTTTGGCTAATCACATTGTATTGTTGATCATAAAAGCCAGGAAAAACAAAAAGAGGCAATGCATTAGAGAGCTTCAAAGAAGTTGTCTGTGCCTTATACTTCTAAAACAGAAAAATCAATTGGATATACAAGAAAGAAAAATTTCAACGGAGATACAGATGGAAATGTTTTGTACAGAACATAGTGTGTTCTCTTTCATATTTTTCAGATGTATAGAATTTGTTATACAAGTCAGATATTGGAAGAATTATGTAAATTAGATTAGCAAATTACATATGCCAGAGAGCAGCATGACTCTCTCACGTTTGCCAGTACATGTTACCTACCTTTCAGGTATGGAAAAGCTATCACATTAACTAATGATTAACGCTCTAGCTGTGGCAGTCCACAGTTGTGGCTCAGCCATACAGAATTACAGGGTGACACCCTGGTGTCAGAGTGACTTTTACGGAGATCTGAGCAAAGCTCAGGAATTACAAAGTCCTCACACCACCACAGTAGCGCTCATCACTGTTCAGATGCAACTGGCATCCTGAAAGCTTGCAGGTTTTGATGGGCGCTGGTCAGTAAGGTTTTGGAGGGGCTCTCCCGTTGCTTATGACAGTGGATGGACTCTGTGTTCCTGTTTCTACTCTCCTTCCCACTTCTAATGTTAAGCCTCTGAACTGCTAAGTAGGATAGGTACACTGCTATTTCTGCTCTTGCAAGGTTTACTTGTGAATCTACATTATCTAATACAAATAAAGACAAGCTGATTCTAGGACCTTTGGAAAAGATTTGCCACCACAGACAGCACTGGGAAGAATAATAGCGTTGTCGTGATGGTGCAACTTCACTCTGACTTTTTCGTTTCTTTCTGCTGAGCTCTCACCTAATGAGGATTATACCAGGAGCTCTCTTTGGAAAACAGGGAGAGATGAAGCTGTGCTGCACGTGGCTAGGAGCTGCTGAGCAATATTTCCCTGCGTATATCATTGCCTGAATATACTAATGCCCTTGCCCTACCAGTATGTGTGAGAACAGGATGGCACACTACAACAGAGCTGGGAGATGAAGAGCGGAGCCTTTCCCAACTTTATTAGCAGACAAAATGCTAATAGCATAAGCAGAGTTGCTTGTGTTCCTACGTAGAGGATAGGCTGATTGTTGGATTCCAGTGCATGCATGGTTTTCATTAAGCTGTGTGTAACTTTTCATAGTTGATTTTTGTAAAAGCACCATGAGTTATTTATTAAGTATTTTAAATTTGTGGACTATATGCTCAGGATATGGGATTTTTATTCATGCTTTAATGGTATAACTTTTAAAAAATAGTTTGGAAACTATGCTCTTACGGTATGTTCATTACAAAGCTATGCTGTGGGTAACTGGGCTATTTTGTGACTGTATCATGGATTATTTCATAGTAGAGCTTAAGTCCAGAAGCTATGCTGTCACTGTATGGGACTTGTTTCACCCGATGTATGTCTTACTGTCCCCAGGGAGCATATAAACTTCTATCATACAATAATATAAACTAAAATACTATTTTTACAAAGGTGTGAACAAGCAGGCTATTCAGATTTTGTAGATAACAAAGACAGGAAATGAAGTTAAATGAGTAGCACAAAAGTCAGCGTTAACAGTGCGAGGCAGACAGTGTATGAAGTTCTCAGTGCACAAAGCTTTTGGCTGTTCACTGTGGCCTTTCTCTTTGATCGTGGTTCTGCCTTCTTAAGGGGTAGAAGACTGAAAGCCACCCTGCTTTCGAGTGGAAGGGATCAGTGGTTGGCTATTAGCTTTTGTTTCAATGCCCTGTTGGAAGAAAGGCTGGTTGGACAGTGTAAGATAAACTGCTGTTCCTGCAATGAAGACGTTTCTAAGAGCAAGCTTGTAGCTGTTTGATGTTCTGTTATTGTTCCCAAAGGCAGCTTTGACAAGTTGTTTTCTCAGACACTGCAGTCTTCCTGTTCAGCATCTCTGTGTGCTATCACCACAGTTCTGCGTGCTATCACTGCATCTCTCCTTTGTTGCATGGGTCAGCCTGGGCAGGTCTGTAGTCATGCATACATGAGCACTCCCTTACCAGCTCCAGAAATGCTCCCCTCTCTTACGATCCAGTCTCACTTCTAGTAAGGGGAAGGAGCTTGCCAACGCTTTCCTCCTCACTTCTGTGCTCTACACACACACACACACACACGCACACACACACACACGCACACACACACACACGCACACACACACACACGCACACACACACACACGCACACACACACACACGCACACACACACACACGCACACACACACACACGCACACACACACACACGCACACACACACACACGCACACACACACACACGCACACACACACACACGCACACACACACACACATGCACACACTCCCTCTTTCCAGAGATGATTATTTGATAAGGTTAATATCTGGGAGGATGCAAGTATAGATCCTTTGTAAAATGAGAAAATATATACATATATATTTTTTGTTCAGTCATCCTTGCAAAAAATATACTTTTTTTAAAGATATCATGGTATTTTCTTAGCCAGTTCCTAATACTGGGATACTCTCATACCCAAGGTTCCTCAGAGCTCAATATGTGCTCTTAAGATGATTATGATGATTGGCTGTAGTAGATGGCCGGTCTGCAAGGTTTTATGGTGTGCTGCTGTTTTGCATATTACCATTGTGGGTTGGCAGGCAGGGCTTTGGGGCTCATGGAGTGAAGCTAATCCCTGCGTTTGCACTCTTGCAGAAATCCTGGCAGGACTTTAGGCCATAAAGAGAGCTGGATGGAGGACAAGGGCTGGGGGGAGGTTAGAAATTGCATTTGAGACTCTGCTGGGAGTCTTAATACTGGTCATATGTGTTCAGTGTGATAAAGTAGAAAAAAGGGCTTGTTAGGGAAAGCTGACAAGAGACCAGCAAGCTATACTTTGCTGCTGTAGATCAGAAGACTCTTTCCTGACTCTTTACTCGACTGGAAGGGTTTAGCTACCTATTTCAGAGCAAACAACAAAGCAACTCTGCATTGTATTGCCAGAGCAGTAATAGAGCACTTCCTGTACTTAAAATTCAATTTATATTCCCTGCAGAAATACACATGGTTTTCAGTAAAATAAAGACAGTTTAGCATGTTTGGTATTAATAATATTGGCTCCTTGCTGTTTGTATGCGTTTTCGTGCCAGAATAATTTTCTATGAGAAAAATATGTCTTGAAAGCTTTTGCACAGATGAAATGCAATACTTTTTACTTGGAGAATGCCTCCAAAAGGCCTCATGTGGTGTTCTGTGCTGTATACTAATCTATAATAGGACAGAGTGATTCCAACTGACCTCAAAATGTTTAGTTCCTTGCCATGTACCCAGTGAACGCTTTCTGAGGTAGAATTTTCATGGGTAAATCCAGTGCCCCACAGGGGATCGTGGATGGGAAAGAGGAGTACTTCTAAAATGGCAGCCTAAGAAGCTGAACAAACATAAAAGGGTGGGACCGTGGCTGAGTAAGTCATTGAGCAAAAAGTACTATTTAATCCCAAAGACGCTAGTGAATGTTTTTTGAACAAGAGCATCAATGCAGTCACCACTGAATACGCGAGTGGGTAGGTCTGGTGCTAAGAAATCAGGACAGGGAGCTTTGAAAAATAACCTGATAGTTTGTGGCAGGCTGAGTGATGTTTTGGTTGGCTAGGAACAGATGACTTCAGATATCCAGAGCAAGACTGATTCTTCAACAGATTCCTTTGTTGTCACTACTTAAGTATGTCTGACTAGGGGAGAAAAATCTCACTAACTCCTATACGCTCAATATGCTAATATCTGATATGCATCTTAAAAAATATATATATTGAATCTGTATCACAAAGTGCAACATTCATGACATACAGTAGTGCCAGGTATGGTGAGTCAAAAGTCAAATGCCATCAAGCCAAGGTCTCTCTTGCAGGACTGGATGTTTGGGAGTGAACAGGAATTGGTAGCTGACTGATGAAAGGCTGAAAGATTAGTTAACTATTTTAAGCAAGCTGCTTGTCCTTCAGGTTCATCCAGTCTCTCACATACCTGGCTCCTTGATATCTGAATCTAATGTGAGTCCCTTAAGTACAAAAGATGGTGGAGGTCTAACCATCGTGACGCGAGATCATATAAGCAAACTAAAGGGCCTTGCGAGAAAGTAAGTTGTACAGGAAGGCGCCTGGAAGACTGCGAAATACTGTATAGCTCTGAGGCATCAACATGATAGTTAGTACCAACTTACTATGCAATCGAATTACTTTCTAACAAAAGCGTATGTGCAGTATCTTGCCAGTCAGTACAAAGATTTGCATAATATGGATGCAGATCATTTCCGTAAGTAGTAACTGAGCTTAGTAGAATTAATTTGTTCCATTCCCCTATGCAGGCACACCCTGTAGCAGCAGCTTCTCTTGATTTTAAAATTAGCAGCTCTCTTACTAAATTTTATACATATGACCTTTTCAGAATTTCTCATAGGCTTTTACCAAAAACTACTCCTCTGTATTCTTTCGATATCACTAAACTGTGATAACTGCTTTTTGCTTTTCTTCTGATAATATGGTGTGTCGTAATACATCTTACTTGCTTATTTTTGCCCTCCTCCTTACCTGCCCAGATGTTTGAATTTTTTTCCTATTCTCAATGTTTGGAAGCAAAGCATTTTATATGGGTCATTATTGCAAAACAGCATCATTTTTGTTCAATATTTGTCACCCCCCCACACACACCCTTTTAAATAAAACATTGCTTTTGGGAGGCTGACAGTTTAGGGTGCTATTTAGTTCTGAAAAGTGCTGTAGAAGTCTTTTTTCTGCCATTTTAAGGTCTCATGTTTCACAGCATGGCAAATACGTTGCAAGTGAAAAAATTACTGTTCTGTATGACTGTTTTTTGTATTCTTCTTATGGTAACTCTACGTAGTAACTTGGCATTATGACCATAGCTTGTGTAGATGTAAACAGATAGGTTTAAATGATAAACCCATCTACCTATCAGATGTTCTAGAGAGGTACTACAGGTGTACTGAGATAGGTATAAATGATACACCTATCTATCTAAACCTATCCCAGTAGAGAGTTCAGATACTAGCAGAAGCTTATCTATAGTAGTGTAGGCTCTACAAACCCTCTAGAGACTCCCAAGTAAATACCTAGCAGATGGATCCAGCATCGCTGCCGCTATGTTGCTAATAATAGTTTAACTGGCTCATTGGATTCCAGTTTGGGCAGGCCTTCATGAGCTGCAGACACATTTGGGGACTACAGGCACATATATCCTGAGAGTGGAATTAGCCTCCTGTCAGTACTAGCAGGCCAAAGTAGAAGGCACACAGGATCTGTGAAGGCATTCTCTGAAGATGTTGGGATTGCAAGAGTTGACTGAGAGCCTTGTCTACCCTAATGTTCCTTTGAGTCTCATCTTCAACACAAAACTGCAGAATTTTGCCTACAATTGGACATGATTCTTGTCGTGCATTTTTAGATACAGCCAAAATTGTCGAGGGGTTTTAAAAAAGCAAAGCTTCTTTTTATGCACATTAGCCCAATAGAAGATCTATACAAGCATTGTAAATGAGTCCCTCTTTCTGAGTGGGGGGCTTGTCTGTGGATAGAAGTAATATATTGAGTTTAACTTGTGGTTGCAACAGCCCTATCAAGCTGTCTCTGCATGTAAGGAAAAAACATGTCCTCAAGGGGGCACTATTGGTTTAAGCACAATATAGAGGAGGTGCCGTTTCATCTCGATTTTCCTTTGTAGCGCATTGACAAAGACTCAGGAGCTCTTAGAATGACTTTCGAGTCACAGTTAACATGAGTTAAATAAGTTAAAGTAAGTCACACAGCAGGTAAAAGATTCTTCATTTCTAGACTTCTGGTACAAAGTGAATCCAGTTATAAAGTGTAAACAGCCAAAACTTAATTTCCAGTTAAAAATAGGATCATCTGTGAATTAAGGTTTACTTATTCAGAAATTTAATATTTATTTGAATGTTTTGTTCCATTACCTCTCTTATTCCTTCTTTTGCTACCAAATTTTTGTGTGTATAAAATAACACATTAGAATTTGATGCAGGGGAAAAGTCAACTGCCACTATATGTGACATCTTGGTTTTCCTGTTGTTACAGACTAGGATGCATAAACTGAGCAGACCCATAGTGGCAGTGAAAAATGTTACACTCCTTGGAAAGCTTCCTGGTTGGTGTCTCAGTTTCCAAAGCCTGTGATAATTAAATGACCTGCAAGGTATTTCTAAACTTGTATGCTGTTAAGTTTCTCCTGCTTACCTCTTGAAGAACAGCTGGATTTCTCATTATTGGGTTTTTTTTTTTTTTAAAACACTGGGATAACTTACTAGTTCTTCAAAGAGCAGAGATACATAAATACTAAATAATTAAACCCAATGTGCTGTTGATAAACTGATATATACTCTGTTTCTGAACAGAGTAAACGGAGAACTTTAACACATTAGCTAAGGGCAACAGAAGGCTTCATTCTCAAGCTTGGCATTGAAAACTCGGGGGTCCTGAGTTCGTAATTCCAGAGTCAGCCTAGAATTCCATTCGGACTCCTATAGATAGTTCTATACAGAATGTATCAGTAGCTGTACAAGAGTAGGAACACTTCAAGCAGTAATTTACTAAAAATGCAATGACTAGTCTGTAAAGGCAAAATTGTTGCATATCAGACTTCTAATTCTGTTATCGATCAGGTCTTGCCTAGCTAGTAATAGTCTCTACAGATTTAGGATGTGCTTTTGTGAGGGCGAAACTCTGTGAGAAAGAAGAGCTAATTGTCGCCTGCAATGATACGTTATTTATTTTAGCTGGATTGTTTTCATGCTGCATTAATGATATGATATGGTCTATCATAACAGTGGCATGAGAAAACAGCCACAGAAGAATTGTCACTGAAGAAAGAACATTATGTGAATACCTCGTTTTTACTTTTATATTATTGTCTTGCTGCAAGGGGATTTAGTAGGTAAAACTGAACTACGTGCTGAGCCCTGGAGTGAGAAATTCCTTGGAAGAAACAAGCCTTGTATTCTTCACAAGAAGGATTAGCAGTTCCTAAATGCCTGACTAATTTCTTAAGCACAGTCCATGCCACTAAAAGGAAACTACAGCACTACTAATGCTTCACTGTCTCTTGCTTCCACTTAACTGCAGTCATCAAGGAGGACAGAAGCACTGAAAGAACTAGACACAGCAAAGATCGGAGCCCAAAGCAGAACAGTTAATGAAGTCAAGTCAATCGAAATCATTTGCAAGAGTGCGTATCCACCCTGTAACGCAGGAGCAGCTCTGAAATGTAAGAAAAAGCCTCACAAGCTTTAGGCACTTCAGTCTTTTTTTTTTTTTTTTTTTAATGGAAGCAATGGATGAATCAGATTATCAGCATCTGAACCCTTGATACTTAATCTGAGTCACAGAGGTTATTTGTATGCTATTTCCACTTTACTCGTGCCCCCTGTGACAGCTTCTGCTTTTCTGCCAGCTGCTGTAGGTCCTGTTGCCCTCACTGCAGGGGGAAAGCCTCCCTTCCAGTGGAGATCTCATCAGAGTCGGAAGCCCTCTTGATACCTCGAGATAATGATTATTATTAGTGCCAACACCCCTTTTGGGGGACTGTTAGCCTAAATTATAGCTCAAAATTGGCTATCCTCATTTGTTAATTATTCTTGTTTGTAAAATACTCCTCTGAGGGAGAGGGAATAAATGTTGCCATTAAGAACTTAAATAGGCTTTCAGATGAAATACCATAACCAGCTGCAGGTCAGCAACAAACCATTCTTTGTTAAGGTGTTTTTCTTTTACAGAGATACAGACTTAACAGGCTGAATAATCTCATCTTTTTAAGGTAGGCTGTTAAGGTGGACTATTTATATGACCAAAAATATCCTATAGGTCACAGCAGCTGAAAGGAATATTAAAGAACAATTTATGATTTTAGCATACCACATTCTTAAAATCCCTGTGAAAAGGGCTATGGTATTGTTTTCCTTATTGTTAATATTTGACACGCCTTCTCTTTTGTTACTTGCCTTTGGAAATAACAAAATACGATACAAAAAAAAAAAATCCTTTCTGGCTGATACAAGAATTATGAATCTGGAATCAACACCAAACTACACTGAAATTGGAAATCTAATGTTACCCAGATTATTTAAAAATCAAACCCAAATATTTGTAGAGGATTATTTGTGAATATTATAAGCAATATAAAATCAGTAGTGTGTGAAATTGTTTTAGAATACATAACAAATGCTGGCATCTCAGTATGAACCTGAAATTACAGGAGAAAAATTACATTTAGCCAAACCATCCTTTTGTCTTCAAGCTACTAGCACACTATGCTATACCCTTAGATCAGACTATCTCAGAAATTGTGGAAGCATCACAAAGCAACATGTAACAATTCTAAAGAACTTCAGTATTGTTTGAACCTCCTTAGAAGAAAATTTGGTATTTTATAGATGTATGTATAAGACAAGCAAGAAGAACCCACCCAAGAAAGATGGAAAAATATTTAGACACTGTGGAAAGACGTATACAGGAAACAGCTGCTTATATGGCGGTGGTTCAGGAAATCCTACACAAAGTGAACAGATGTATCACCGTAAGTTTTAGCAGAAGAAAATTAGCTGTCATGGGAAAATATTTGAATAAAAAGTTGGTAAATTTGGATTAAAAAATTACAGGGTAAAACTGACAGAAAATATGAGAAACAAATACATTAAAAACTTGAATCTTAGCTATGATGGTGGTCACTATATTGTAATTTTTTTCTACTTAACATCATTTTTCCATTTAGTGTTATTGTAGCTATCATACTATGACTGTATATGTAATAGGAACTTTGAACTTTCTTCTCAAAATTATTTTAATAGGATATAGAAAATAACCTAGCTATTGTTACTGTGCATCACTATTTCATTCAGTATACCCAACACAAGTGAAGCTGGTATGAGTGTGCCAATAATTGCGCAGTTAATGGCATTTGTAAACTGTGACTACTGAAAACATTTGCTGTGACTCACTAAAGCTACTCAGAGTCGACGCTCTGGGCATTTGGGGCGCCTTTACAAATCTTTGTGGCATAGTATGTTCC